TATCAGCCCAGCTCCGGAGCTCCACTAGTTCCCTGGGGGTACTCTTATCCACCTTGATTTCTTCTGTTCCCTTTTTTTAGAGCCCCGCACCCCAGTCTCACTTTTCCCCAGAGAAGTCCTTCAGAGGTGCATGCTCCTTGAATACTTGAGCCGAGGGCTTGGACATGTGCCCTGGTGCTCACCAGCTCTTCCCTGGCGGTGTTGACTTTGCCATTAACTCCTGGTCCCTGAGATAGCAGGCTAGTGTGAGCCGTAAGCAGGCGCATGTGAGGTGCAGGGCTGCACAGCTGGACCCTTTCCCCATACCTGGATTGAAGATAACTTAATGGGAACAGTCTTTTATTTGAAGTTTGCAGATCAAACAATAAATACGGAATAGAAAGAGCTCTTATTTGTTTTTGTATGGCTTCACTTGTGCCGATGAGATAGTGCTGGCCTGGCCATGGGCAGGCAGGTGTGCAGGTGGGTCCGCTCTGCCTCTGCCCTGAGCCTGGCCCTGGAGCCCAGGAGAGCCGCATAGCTGAAGTACAGGGCCGGGCAGCCAGGCACCTGCTGGCCTCAGCTCTGCTCACTCAGAATCTAAAGCTACCCCTTGCCCCTTGTCCTCTCCCCAAACAGGAAGCAGCGAAGATGGAGAAAAGGACTAGGTGGCTGTGGGTACCAGTGGACTCCTGCATGTCAGCCAGCGCCACGACATCCACTTGACGTGGGCTGCCACGGAGCGGCCAGCAAGGAGGACTTGGGAGATGCAAGGGGGCTAGTACCTCCTGCCGTGCCCCCTCCTTCCTTCCACCCTGCCCTTGGGCGGGGGCCCTGCGTCCCACCCGTGTGACACTCTGCCTGGATGTGGGTGGCACATTGAGGCCCAGGATGGTGACGAGTGAGCCATATTTATTGTGTCTAAGGATGTCACTACTTGCTGTATAGAGGGTCGTGTACGCATGCGTGCTGTGCGGACCCTGGGCCTTCTGCCAGGACGCCACTGGCCCATCCCTGCTCAGACTTTTGCTCTGCATGGCATTGTAAAGCTCCCGAGTCCTGAATGCCCGCTGTCTTCAGAGCCGTCGAAAGTGGACATACGGTACTGAGGGGGGATTCACTCTGGATGCTAGCATTTGATGTCCTTATAGGAAATATTTTTGATGAATCCCCAAATTCTGCTGTTTTGTTGATTGACTCCAGCGCCCTTCCCCTCTCTAAAGCCGTTTCTGCCCCGGCCGGGTTTCAAGCCCTCCTGGTGAAAAGCAGCAGCAGGCATACCTGGAACTCTGCTGGCCTGGACCCCAGGTGTGGAGGCAGGGCAGCCAGCATGGCCCCTGGGTCTCCCCTCTGCCCTACGCAGCCCCCTGAAGACACCACCATTTCGGGCACCTGGACTGGAGCTCTTCAGATTCAGAGCTGGATGCCCCCTCGGAAGCACTTGCAGTGGGAAGAGGGGTGAGGACCTGGCTGTCCACCCAGGCCCCTCACTGTGAAGGGGACTGCATGGCTCCAGAGCTCTTCACCTGTCCTTAGCTGGACAGGGCATCCCTCACAGGGCTGACCTTGCATTCAGCTCCGGTGTAAGGTCTCTGGAGGCTGATGCAGAGTTGCTGCCCTGTGCCCACTGGGTGGGTCCCCTCACATGAGCCCTTCACCCAAAATAATCTCCAGTGCTGAGCGCTTTCCAGACTCCAGCAGGACCCTGGGTGACATGAGGCCCTCAACGTGTGTGCTGTCCCTGGGAGAAACCCAGTCTCTGTGCAGGTGTGGGCCGTGGAGGGAGCTTACATGACCCTTGTTACCAGTTGTTTTGCTCTACGGGTTTCTTTTATACTAAGCAATAACCTTGCAGAGCAAGGAGATTGAGAATGGGGATAGGGTCTTGGGCCAGGCCCACAGGGCCTTGTGAGAGCTCTGCTGGAAATGGCGTTTGGAGGCGATGTTGCCAAAACTGTCATCTCTCTCCGTTTCTGGCTGCAGATTTCCTGACTTTTTTTTGAATCTTTACCTCTGCCAGTCATCATCGAGAGAGATGAGAGATGTTTTCAGATGATGGGTTTAAAGATTCGGATGGATGAACTTACAGGCTCTATCGTTTATACAAGCAGTCCAGGATGCATTCACAGATACTACAGGACTGCAATTTTCACAATGTTAAGGCAGTTTTAACCACATAATTCCCATTTTTATTTAATGCTTATCACTCACACGATTGCCAAAATAAAAGCATTTTATAGCTGTCGGGCGAGCTCGTGTGCCGTTGCGTGGAAGGGGGCTTTCCAGTGCTATCACCCCCGAGGCAGCGGCTTCTGTTGAAATTGCAAGCAATACTGAGAAATTTGAACAGATTTAAAGTTCAGTCTCTGTTTTGAAATGTCAGCATGGGTTCTGTTGCTTTGACCAGTAAGTGAGTTGGTTACCAGTAGTGGATCTGCACACATCCATTCTCAGTAAGCTGTGTGGTGCAGCATGCCAGTGAGATCTGTGGATAATGCGGGAAGAGGTTTCTAATCCCTGCTTCACTGATTTCCTGGCTCCTTTTGGTAGCCCACAGCAGACAGCAGCTGGAGTTTGTGCATTTTGAATTCTCTACTCCAAGTAACTTTTGATTTTGTTCCTAGATCAGTGCTGATTTTTGTGCTGTGTCCACTGACCCCATCAGGAGCCAGGAGGGGTAGGGGCTTCCGGTCCTTCTGGGACTCAGACCCCATGTCTAGGCCAGGAGCCATTTACCTTTCAAGATGAAAGATGAACCAAGCTGAATTGAAAACAGAGTACCCCATTCTATTGTTTCTGTTTTTTGGGTTTTTTTTTTAGTGATTCTAGCCCCTTCTCTCCCCCCCACCTTGCCGCCCCAGCACCCATTCTGTTTTTAAGTGTACAGACCCAACTTCCTTCAGAGATGGATTTAAGGAAAGCCTTTCCATGTATTGGTACCCCAGACACCTTTCACACCTCCTTCCTATTTCCCATAGGGTGTTTGTAGAATTAATGACCTACTGCATGTCTCTGTCCAGAGGGCCAGGCGGAAGCGGGGCCACAGCTCCCTTTCCTCCACTCAGCCTGTCCCCTGAGCGTGGAGATGCCAAGCAGGTGTCACACTGCAGAGAAACAGCCAGCATTCAAGTAAGAAAGCCGTGTGCACACACCTTCCCTCAGACTTACGTCTCAAAACCATATTCCTGAGCAGCAGTGGGCTTGGTGCTGGCTAGTGTACACATGTGGGTGCGTCGGGGCGGGGGGGGGGGGGACAGAACACGTGCTGTGAAGCTGTGGGCAGTGGGACTGGGGTGGTGACCTGTGGGGACACTTGTCCCCACCAGCTGGCACCTCACACAGCCAGAAGAGGTTCACAGCAATATAACCTTGAGTTTCAATTGTGTACATTTTTAAATTGTAAGATTTTTACTGTATATTGATACATAGTGTGATTCAATAAATTGCTTGTAATTTAAAAAAAACTATTTAATATTCAAAATAAATATAGTTATATATTTATAAACGGTTGCTGTATTGCATTCCACATTTTTCCCCTTGTCGGGGAGGAAGGGAGCATTTCTCAATCTCCCACAGGCCTGAGGAAAAAAAGGTAAACCTTTGTAGAATCCTGGAACCTGCAGCCCAGGGCTGCTGGGATGTGTGTGATGGGAAGTGAGCCTTTGCGCATGGCTGTTTTTAATCCTGGGCCCCTTGCGAGCCCCAGCCTCAAGAAGCCCCAAGCCAAGAGGTGGCTCCAGTCACAGACAGCTGTTCCATGAGGAATGGGAGTACCTGAGGCTCCTGCTTGCTTTCCTGGTCCCTTGCTGAAGTGCAAATGGCCAAGAAGGAAGTGACAGCTTCCTGCCCCAACCACAGCCCACAGGGCTGGCTCCTAACACCCAGATCACGGGTGACTGTCAGCCAGTGTCCAGGCACCAAAGATGTGGCGGCACGACCCATAACCAGGCCGGCCATGGGAGAGCTCACCCTGATACTCTTGGTTCCAAGACAAGCCTTCCCCCCTCCACTGCAGTACTGGATTTTTGAACTCAAGGCCTTGGACTTGCCAGACAAGCAAGTCCCTTGATCCAAACCTCCCACTCCCTTCTGCTTTCCTTATTTTTCAGTTAGGGTCTCCAGTTATTTTCCCTTGGACCTGGGTCCCATCTACATCCAATCATAGCTGGGACCACAAGGGTGCACTATGATAGCCAGCTTGTTCATTAAGAAGGGAGGGGGCAGAGTATTGACAACTTTTTGCTCTGGATAGCCTCAAGTCCTGGCCTTCCTGATCACCACCTGAGGGGCAGGGATTACAGGCAGGAGACACCAAGCTCAGTCCCTTAATCACCTTTAAAGTGGAGAAACAAGCAGATCCAGTGCAGCAGGGAGGTGACAGAGCTGGGTTTTTGTTTTGTTTTTGTCTTGGTTTTTTTGTCAGTTGTGGGGCTTGAACTCTGGGCCTGGGCACTGTCTGCCCCGCAGCTCTTCTCCACGCTACCATTTCAGCCACAGCACCACTTCCAGCTTTTTCTGCTTATATGGTGCTGAAGAATTGAACCGAGGGCCTCATGCATGCATGCAAGGTAAGCACTCTACCACTGAGCCAGAGCTTGTTTTAAGCTTGAGTTGTCTCCCTCACGAGACGCAGAGATCACCGGGCCCAGCCCCTCCTGGGCAGCCCTGGTCCTGGGCCCTTTTTTTTAGGAGCAGAGGGGTCTGCAGGAAAAATCATGGGGGAGCATTGACAGGCAGGAGGAGTCTGGGCCCTTGGTTGCTATCCAGGAGTTGTGGCCACAGTGCATTTAAGATGACTCACGGTGTGGCTAACCACAAGGCCAGGTGGGGTTCTGGGGATCCCCCCCCATCAGTCCCCAGGGGTCCCCAGAGAGGCCTCTGGCCGCCCAGGGCTCTGAGCCAGTCTGGCTACAGCTGACGGGTCGGGGAGGAAGGGGGCGGGGCCTCCCACCCGCCGCAGGTGCAGACCCGCCCAGGCCCCGCCCACGGCCTTATTTACATACGTCAGCGGTCCCGCCCCGGGTGGCTAAAGCGACGTGTCCTTGTCCCCCGTGGGCAGGCTCTGCGCGTGCAGCCGCGGATCCCCAGGTAACCAGGGGCTGAGGGAGGGAGGGGGGCTCAAGAGGGGCCGCAGGGAGGGGACCAGAGGCAGGGCTGGGTGGGGACTGGGGCAAACCCAGGTGGTGGCCACAGGGAGCGCCCCCCACTCCCTGCAGGCAGGGGCCCTCCACGTGGTGGGACTGGGGGCTGTGGCCGGGTCGACAGCTGCTCAGAGGCTCAGGTCTCAGTCCTGTCCCCTTGTGTGGCATCCAGCTGGGCTGGGCAGGGAGTGTGCCACCCCATGTGCTGGGGGCAGATGCACAGGGTTGGTTGGGATCCAACACTGGATAGTCAAACCAAGTAAAATGTCAAAGGCAGTGGAGGACCTGGGAACAAGGGGTCAGTCAGTGTGAGGCTCCCCCTCCCCAGAGAGAGAGAGCTGGGGAGCAAAGGGGGGGGGGGGTCCTGTGAGATCAAGCAGGTGTGAGGCATTCCTAAATCAACTGGGGCCACCAAGGACCAAGCAATGTACTCTCAGGGGCCACTGAGCCCACTACATCCTCCAGGCCACCAGTGGGACAGCCACTGTACTGTCACTGTCCCTACCGGCTGACCACAGAGTGACTTGTGTTCTGGCCTTGTTTCTAAGGGCCACTCACCTCTTGGGACAACCATTGCAGAACCATGAAGACCAAGAACCGGCCCCCGCGGCGCCGGGCACCGCTGCAGGACACAGAGGCCACTCCTGAAGAGAGGACTCCTGAGAGGTCTCAGGCAGGCTCAGGGCCAGAGCTGACCAAGGGTCTGAGGAACAGGGCGGCCAAGGCAGCAGGGGCACGGGCTGAGGTGGCAGGGCGGCGGCGACAAGGACCGGGTGGCCGGCGTGACAACAGCATCCAGCGGCGGCTGGAGAGCAATGAGCGGGAGCGCCAGAGGATGCACAAGCTCAACAATGCCTTCCAGGCCCTGCGTGAGGTCATCCCGCACGTGCGGGCTGACAAGAAGCTCTCCAAGATCGAGACGCTCACACTGGCCAAGAACTATATCAAATCGCTGACCGCCACCATCCTCACCATGTCTAGCGGCTGCCTGCCTGACCCGGCATCCGGCCCGAAACTTTACCAACACTATCAGCAGGCCACTGGGGGCGCGCTCGGAGACACTGAGGCACAGCCGCAGGGCCATCTGCAGCGATACTCCACGCAGATCCACAGCTTCAGAGAGGGCAGTTAGCGCCAGGCCCCGTGGGAGGGTGGCAGGGGTGGCTTGCCCTGTCCACCCCAGCCCTCGCCCCCTACTTCTCCAGGCTGTAGCCCCGGGAGTGCCATTTACCCTGACCACTCAGCCTGGAAGACCTTCTCCTGGCCACCCAGGGGCCAGGCCAGGAATCTGGTGAAGGCAGCTCAAGGCCCTGAACTCAACTCTGGAGCAAATACCAGGCCCTGTTGTCACTGCATGAAGCCTGGACAGGTGGGAGAGACCCTCGCCTGCCTAACTAAATTCTCTCCACTTGGGCTGACAATGGGACACCCGAAGGGAAGATTATTTGTGAATTTCCTGTTGTGGTGAGGCCCGCATCATAGCCCTGGGATCAGATTTCACATCTGGGGTAAACTGAGGCTTGAAGTGAGCAGGGCAAAGCTAACCCCAATTAGATAACCTGAGGTTCTTTCCAAAAGATATCTGGGGGTGGCCAGGCACCCCCCCACACACACAGTGGGTGTGTTAGAGAAGGTTGGCAGTGTACCTGGCCACAGAGGGCCTGCATGCCCTGGCATAGGAGCACCCTGGAGATGGGACTGGAAACAAAGTGAAGTGTCCCTGGGGAGACATTTCCCCATGCAAGAAGAGGGTTGGATTTGTCCCTGGCCTGGCACAGGCTCCCACCCTGGCGAGGCTCAGACGTGAGGAGCCTTGGCACAGGGCGGTCTGATGGGACTGTTCTTGGCCCTGTTTGAGTTGGAGGCCTTCGGCACTTCCTGGCAGGTGGAACCTGGGATTGGCAGGAACTGAACTCCCCCACCTGGTGCTGCTCCAAAATGCCAGGGAGCCAGGGGCTTGGCAGGCCCCCACCGCCTTGGCCCCAGCTTCCTCCTGGCGGGTCCTTCCCGTCCCACTGGTTCTGCTGGACTCAGCCACTTTGCTGTCAATGCTTGCTGCCATCTCCCTGCGCCTGTTGTTCTGCCTGGAGCTGTCCCAGAGTTCCCAGGGGCCGGTCCCTTCCTGAGGTGTTTGGGGTGAGGGCCTAGCTAAGCCAGGAAAATAGTTGCCAGTGCAGAGTTCTCCTCTCCAGCCCCCAATTTGCAGCTTTACCTTCCCTAAGTCTGGAGGAGGCATGGCACTAGCCACTGAAGGCAGCTGCAGGCTGGGGGAGGGGAGGTCACAGCTAGCTAGCAGAGTGGCAGGTGGCAGCCTGCAGGGCAGGCCTTGGCTACCTTGGTTATCTAGAAAGCAGGCCTCAGCCCAATGATCCCCCATTTTTTTCCCTGGTTTTCAGGGGTACTAGGTTTTGAACTCAGGGCTCACGCTTGCTAGACAGTTGCTCGACCATTCGAACCACATCTCCAGCCCTTTTCTTTTGCTTTACTTTTTCTAAAAGCATTTTGTGTTCTCTGCCCAGAGCTGGTTTAATACTGCGATACTCATACCTACACCTCGCTCACACATAGCTGGGATTACAAGCATGAGGCACTGTGCTTGGCTTTAGTCTCTCTTTCTTAATGGGGCTTGTATGTCCTTCTTGCCAGTCCCAGAGACCTGGTCTGTCCCAGTTCTGCAAGTGTCCTTTGTCATGGCTCAGGTGGGGGCCTCACCGTGGTGGCCAGTATGGAGCCAAGACTGAGCTCAGGACAACCAGAGCTCAGGTGGAAAATCAGGGAGCCGCCAATCTAGCAGTTGTTCCAAGCTGTCTGACCCTAAACTTGTGGAACGTGGTGGCATCCTGAGCCCAGAAGCACTGGGGACAGGGAGGGATGAGTGGAGGGGTCCCACATTGCCCAACAGCTGGCCATAATCCAGGACTGCTCAGGGTCTCTTGCCCTGTCTTGTGGCCCCAGCTGGCCCTTGCGCTCTTAGGCACCAAGAGGAGGGTCCAGTCCTCCTCCTGTGGCCGATGGGGATCTGCATGCCCTGTGGCCCATCATGAAGGACCCTCAGAGGCCCCTATTCCAGGGACTTGAGGACAGGCCTGTGACTGGCCAGGGTGGCTGAGTCCCTTTCATCCCTGTCCTGGACTCCTATCCTACAGGAATCCTGTAGGGCTGAGGGGCTGAGTTTTCTTGAGTCCCGTGGAGCTGCCCACTGGTAAGGTCTGGGTCACCCTCTGGCCATGGGTCCACCACAGTCCTTGAGGGCCAACTCCCCAATTCCAGCAAACCAGAACTTGGCCTTCTGAGAAATTCCCCCTCCCCCATTATCAGTGTGATGACTTTCTTAAATGACCCAAATTTGCCTCTTTTTTTGGGGGGGGGGGGGCGCAGGACGCGGCACATATCGGTCATGGGACTTGAACTCAGGGCCTGGGCACTGTCCCTGAGTTCTTTTGCTCAAGGCGAGTGCTCTACCACTTTGAGCCACAGCTTCATTTCCAGTTTTCTGGTGATTTAATGGAGAAAAGAGTCTCATGGACTTTCCTGCCTGGGCTGGCTTTGAACCACGATCCTCAGATCTCAGCCTCCTGAGTAGCTAGGATTACAGGTGGAGCCACCAATACCTGGCTTGCCTCTCCCCACCCCCACCCCCCCCCATGGAACCTTCAAAGTTCTAATGAGATTGATGCTGTGTCCTAAAAGGAAAATGCACGATTTTAGAACAACTGTTCCTTTGCCGCAGGAACTGGATCAATAAAGACTCCCTGGCCAATGCCACTGGTGAACTTTTATTCATAAAGCATCCTTGGAGTGGAGACAGCTCAGTGACGCTGAGAAAGTCAACAGCTGGCACTGTGCAGTGCAAGGAGACTCATACACCCCTCCCCCCCCGAGAGAGGTTGGGGAGCCCCAGGGCGCCATGCTGAAGGCTCTGCCAGCTGGGGAGCCAGCTGCTACAGCTCGTGGGTGAACACACGGGGCCGCCCACAGGGCCCCTGCGCTCACGCACACCTGTGCCACCTCCAGAAACACCAATGCCTCAGGGAGGGGCCTGAGGAGCCTTGGCCTCGCTTCCTAGGGACCAGCCCCCCCAAGAGCCAGAGGGGGACGAGTCTGCTCATTCTGGGGTACAGCTCTGGCTCCTTCCTGGGCAACACCCACATGCAGGAAATAAACCTAAGACTGCACCCCCCCCCCCAGCACAGAAGCCACGGGAGCGATGGGCCACTAGCTTAGGCTTGTTCCTGTCTGGCCGGGAAAGGGGAGGGGTACCCTGTGCTCCACACAGGGGTTCTGGGCAGCTTGGGTCTCTGTGCACTCCCTGCCCAGCAGGCACAAATCTGCTCCTCACTCAGCTGACTGCAGGGCCCCCCCCAAAGACACCACTGGATCCCACAAAGGCCACTTGGCCACCCTGCCACACAAGACCGCTCCATAGATTCACAGCCACAGGCTCAGGTGCAATTTCCTTAGGGGCTCTGGTTTCCAGGTTCTAGGCCTGGTGTGGGAAAGGCAGAGAAGAGGGGACAGTGGCAGAGGCTGGGAGTGAGGTACCCCGTTAGTGACCATCTCCCCCATGCCTCCAGCCACAGCATCTGCCATCGATGGGGGGGGGGGGCATGTGAAGGCGCCCACCAGCTTCCGACCGGCCAGCGCCCCTGCGGTGGCCATGGTCAGGCCTACTCCTGGAGTGGGCCTGGTGCTCCCTGCCACAGGCCGTGCTCCGAAACCCACTGTCATCCTGGCCTCCAGGCCCCGCTGGAGCCTCAGCACCGGACGGGGCCCTGGGCCTCGTGCTCCCGGGAACAGCTGCGGGAGGCCCTGGTGGTGTTGGCCCGAACGGAGATGTGACTCCATCCTCCCTGAAGGGAAAGCCCGGTCACCAGCGGCCCAGGGACCTACGCGGGGCTCCTCCCAGCCCCCTCCGCCCTGCCCTCCCATGGCCACTCACCCCGATACCATAGTCCCAGCCCTGCCCTTTGGGCTCGTGGGGCTGCACCCCTGTGCGACGGCACACCGTCCCCCGGCTCAGTCCGTGGCTCCCCTGGACTTTGTTAGCGATGACCCAGACCTAGAACACAGGCCAGCTGGAGCCCCCCGGGAGGAGTGCCCACGGCCCCCCCCGCAAGTACCAGCATCCCCCGGCGCCCCACCTGGTCCAGGGGCCCCACGGACACGCGGCGCACGTTGTTGGATACGTGTTCCCAGCTGGAGCCCTGCGGGTAGCTGGGCGTGATCCCCCCACGGAACCACAGGTTTCCTACAAGAGATACAGGGCAGTCAAGGACCACCCTGGCATGGGGTGGCGTCTGGGAAGCTGAGAGTTCAATGCAGCACCCCCTCTGGCCCCCACATCCCTGGGCTCTCGCTGCCCCCACTTGGAGAGCCTGGGCCGCAGCCAACCCTGCGCCTCTCCAGGCTGGGCTTCTCTTGAGCTTCATAACCGTGCCATTGTGGGACACGGGGCTGGCCCGCCGCGCCCTCCTCCACGTGGGTGGAAACTGAGGACAAAGAATGCTTTAACCAAATACCAAGAGAGCCGGATCTGGAAGAAACACTCCAACTTCAAGCTCCACTCCTGTCTTTCCTACCCTTCTCCTTATCTGTGCCCCATGGCAAGGGACCAGAGCCCTGAGGCTACGTAGCTCTGTGCTGCCCAGGGTCCTGCATTTCACACCTGCATGGAATCTTCTAGAAGATGCTCCCTGTGCAGGCCTTGCCAAGATACGTCACCCCCCGCATTGATGCTGTGTGCTCAGTTGACAGGTGGGACAAGAACCTGTCCCCTGGGCACAGACAGGGCTGGGTCCCCCACCCTGGGTCACTGGAGGAGGTTGGGAATTTCCCACTCCATCTTGGCCTAGGCCAGTGCAGGAGTCATTCGATAGAGGCCCAGCAGGGAGGTTAGACCCCCCACCCCCACCCCAGCCTCTGTGTGGCCTGCTGGCCATCACGCTGGGGTGTCCAGGGAGCCCCACTATGCAGCAGTGGACATGACTTGCCGTTCTCATCCAGGGCATACACAGATGTGTGGCCGACGGACACCTGCATCAGCCTCTGCTTGGGAGGGGATGGGATGTGGTACCAGCAGTCACCTGTGACAGGACAGCCGGCTAAGGAGGCTGCGGGACCGCGGGGGCCTGCGCCAATGCTCACTGTGGCCATGTAGGCATGTGACCGGGGGCCACAAAAAGCCACCAGGCACTCTGAGTCACCAGGCACTGGTGACTCATGCCTGTCATCCCAGCTACTCAGGAGGCTGAGATTTGAGGATCATGGTTCAAGGCCAGCCCAGGCAGGAAAGTCCATGAGACTCATCTCCATCTCCAATAAAATCCAGAAGTGGCTTGGGTGGTTGAGTGCTAGCCCTGAGTGACAATTCTAAGAGACAGCACCCAGGCCCTGAGTTCAAGTCCAAGGACCGGCACACACACACACACACACACACACACACACACACACACAGCCAATGCGAGCCCCAACATTCTCTCACACACAGCCTCACCACCACCTCTGGGGACTGTGGTGGGTTCTGACAGGTGCAGTGGGCCCAGTGTACAGTGGAGGGCTGGCCTTGATGGTTAGCCTTTAAACCCACTGTTATGGGGGGCACCAGCTACCCACATACTCATTGAGGGGCGGCCAGGAACCTAGTCTAAATACCCTAAAAAAAAAACAAGCCAGCACAGGGCCTGACGGGAACATCCCAGTGAGGCTCAGTGACAGGAAGTGGCCTGCTAGGGGAGCTGCCCACTGGCTTCCCAGACACATCCCTCCAGACGACCTCTCACAGCCTGGAGGCCTTGTGGATTTGGGGGCAGCACTCACCAGCCGGCTGGGAGGGGGACACGGAGCCACGGTAGAAGGCAGAGCCATCCCTGGCCACAGCCCACACTTGGTAGCAGGCTCCAATGGATACAGAGGCGAAGGGCTGGTCGGTGCCCACGTGCAGCCAGGAGGAGCCCTGGAGATGGGGGGACGGGGGGGGGCTGCTGAACCCTGTCACAGCACAAGGCTGGGGGGTGACACTGAGGTACAAGATGCCAGGGGGCGGCCCTGGATCATGTAGACCAGGCCTGGCCTGACTCAGCCCTGAGTGTGGTCTGATCCCCGCCCATGGCTGAACCCCTGGGAAAGTAACCATGTGCACCTCACCAAGGGCACCATGCCGCCCCAATTCCCAAGAAAGGGTAGCTTGAGCCCAGCGCTGG